CAAAAAGTTGTTCCCGTGGTTTTGGGCCCCAGAATAGGGTGAATTTTCCCCCCCCCCCCCCCCCCCCCCCCGTCCAGCCATCGTACCCAACGGCAACAGAATACCGGTGCCGCAAAATAAGCCACCCACGCATCGGCGAACTGCTGACTTCTAGGACCGGCAGCATTGTCCACGTCGCTACCCTGCCGGCGATCAACTCTTCATCCGCAAAAGAGCTAGAAACGAAGCACTTCCTTCGGCAAGACAAACACTCAACCCCCCCAAAGCTGGCATCATGCATCGCCGGCTTCGACCGCCCCCTCGGCAACATCGCCGTCCTCATCTTCGTCGTCATCAAACCCGCTAATCAAGTCCTCGACAACGGCCCCTTTGTCCTGCTCCTCATCCCGACGCCTCTCGTCCTCCTCCTCGGCAGGCTTGTTGGGGGAGTTGTCCACCAGGTGCCGGACTATGTCGGTACCCTCCGAGTTCAGCCATTGGTTAACCACGACGAGGTCTTTGTAAGGGGACATGCCCTCCGGGTTGAAGATGTCTACTCGCTCCCACCCTAACGAGTCCAGAACTTGGGCCTGTTTGGTTTTAGGGAGCGCGCGGGGGGGCGTTGTGAGTGGCGGGTAGGTGGTTTGCTAGGTATTGTGGCGGTGCATTTTCGCGACGCGGCCGGGGACAAGACAGAGCAGAAATCACCCATCGGACGAAGGCCACGCCCGTGACTAAGGCTGCCCTCAAAAAACCATAGTATGTAGTACACGCCTGCCATACAACTCATGGTGTTCCAGCAACGAATGGCGTGTGTCCCGACATTTTACCGGCACTATAGAGGCCCCCCCACTGTAAGGTGTTTCGTTCGATGGCTGCGAGAGCAGACCTGGAATCTTTTCACGATCCCCGCACGTCGAATGCGTTGAACCAGACGCACTCCAGCCACAGCTCACAACTACCAGCATCACCAAACACCCTACAACAACACCGCGTCAACATCAACATCAACATCAACATCAGACACTGCTGCTGTCTGTGACAAGTAACATCAACATCCGCACGACAATTTCTGCGACATCAAGCTTCCCTTCACTGCTACCGTGTGTTGCGCCACCAACAGGCGGTCTGGGCTGTCTTGGCTCTCACCATGATCTCCCACATTCCAGACTCGGGGGCCGACGAAGCGAGAGCGGTAGGGAACCCCCCCCCGGGGCCCCGCGCCACCGCCGGGTCCATCCCGCCAAGGTTGCCCTTGCTGCTGTTGGCCATCACGTGCGTGTAGTGCGGTGAGCACATCCGGGACCTGTGTAGTCGAGTTTCGCCGCAGTTATCGGGGCCGGGGGCAGGGAGTGGGGAGAGACATAAGTTTCAAACGTGTGCGAAATACGGGGTAGGGGGGTAGGCGGTTGCGAGGGCGTAAGGACCAGGCGTGCGAGGGGGAGGGGGGCACTGCACTTCGACCCGTCTAGAAGACGTGGAGGGAATCAATCCTTCCCGTCATCACCTCGAAGCCTCCACCCTACGAACAACAAAAAACAAACAGACCCCCCCGCATTCACACAATGCAAGCACCTTGCGCCCTTTCCTCCCCCCCCCCTCGTTCCCTCGTTTCAAGCCGCGAACAACGAGCGTCTCCTCTGTCTACATAACTCTGCTCTGCAGGATTCGCGACAGCAGTAGTTCTGCGGTCCCGTACTCCTACGATAGTTCACGTGCCGTACAAACGCACAAGGGTCACGACACAAAGAACGGCCACACACGTTTTTTTTATGTTCCTGATTCCCTATGTAGAAGATTTATCGTAATGCGGTTTTACTACCCTCCCCGACAATGTGTTTCAGCGTCTCACACATGTCGTTTCTTTGTACCTCCGTGCCAGTAGTTTTAGGACGTTGCCGGAGAATACCTTCGAGGGTTTAATATCACGTCTCTTGTACACGCACGTTTCTTCCCCCGCTATGCATACAATGAACTGGCGTCTTTCGAGGGGCCAGACGTTTTTTTCACACGGGCAACGCTACTCGAGTGAAAGCATAGATACACAACACCGATGCCCTCGCGGACCCAGCAAACGGTTTCCACGCCCCGCAAAAAAAAAAAGTGTTCCAACCCGTTAGCTAGCCTTTCGACGCTTATAAGAAGTCCAGCAAAGACACACACTCACAAGTCCGTGTCCGGCACGTAGACGTAGGGGTCGTCGATGCGCACGCTGGCGGAGGGGTACTCCACCGTCCCGTCCATCTTCACATTGGCGTACAAGACCCTTCGCTGGAACATCCGCAGAGGCGCCAGGAAATCCTCCCCTGTCATCCTAGCCAGCACCGGTGGTCTCGAGCCGCCTAGGGAATGGTTGCTGTTCATATTTCTGCCCACTCCCTCTGCTCCCATGTAGGATGGAGGCGCGCCTGGGTAGTACCCGGACCCCCCTCCTCTTGCCCCCCCTGCTCCGGCGGAGCCCCCGACCCCGTATTCCTCGCGCGAAACGCCTCCGTTGTCCCCGTC